AATGTTCATTGCACGGATGGACCAGCTGAATTCTCAGCTGTTCGAGTAATCTAGACCTTGCGAACATCGCCGCCGCAGTTCAATACCAACATCGTAGATGACGCTAGCGAGAGATAGAAACGGATGGACCTAGTTCACGACCCCCTGTCTACTTTTTTTGCGCATGTGTAACATAGGCTTGCCCTTTTCTTCCAGTCAGACGTTTTTTCTAATTTTGCTCCTTGCAATGTCGAAACGCTCTCAATTGCATCAAAAGCGGATAGTTTTTTCGCTGAATGTTTTTCTTCCGTCGCGAGTAGGGAGGAAAGTGCTTCTGATCATGATGTTCATATTCAAGTACTTTCATTACTCATTCCCTCGGCTGCCATAAAATATCTAATTTATTGCATTATCGTCTGCTGATCATTTCGAACTGTTTCAGTTTTCAGCGTCCCAAAATCTTGAACTTAATTAAGCTAAAACCTTGCTCAGAGGAGTACTTTGACACAAGAATCACAAAAATCATATTCATAGTAAGCCATAGCAAGCCCTTTCTGTGGTGGCAGAATTGCAGATTATCTAAGAGACAGAGTTAGCCAAGTGATTAGTGTACTGCGCATTAGAAACTATTTCGGTAGATTCCTAAATTCGAGTTCTCCCTGGGTGATAATTCTTGCACCATGAATCCAGCGCCAAGCTGCCCTATCCTTACAAATCATACACGGTTGAGAAGCACCTAGTCGCATCAAAGCAACTAAATGAGGACTAGCGTCGAGAGGCGACGTGCACAACCGCGACGGGTGCAATAGGGGCATCGTCTTACGAGCGGTGGATAAGAAAGCTAGCTCATCCATAGCAAGAAGAAGCCGTGACACGGAGCAAGTTTGAATTACGATAGCGAAGGCAAAGAACAGTAAGACGATCGGTCTAGATGATATTTCCAGCAAATTTGGAAAGAGTATGAATAGCATCTTTGCTGACTCCTCAATCAAGTCGTCAACTGAGAACATGCCTCATGTCTGATAAACCCGCTCAACGATCGATCTCAATGGAAAAACAAAAGTAATGTTGCAGACTGCACAACGTACCGACCATTCCAACTGACAAACTTTGGAGGTCTTGGAGTTACGTGAGACTCGAAAGATTAAGTTATTAACAAACCAATATGGCCTTGTAAATGATTTTAGTGCTAATGAAACCATTCATCTGTGTATAGTGATGAACAAATTTGAAAACAAAGTAGATTGCAAGCGGATCGCTGAGCTTGAAAGAAAGCATCCCAAGGACCTCATGATTATATGGTGGGAGCT